AAAAAAAAAACATAGGAATTGTTACGAGGATGGTGCAAGACTGGGCAGTGTTGAGTTCTGTTGTATATGAGATTACTATGAGTTGGAACCAACTTAACAGTGCCTAACAACAGGGCAAAATAGTCCAGGTTTTTCAAGGATGCAAAACTGAAAGGACTATAAGCAGAAAGTAAACATAAGACAAAGAATGTGATCCATTCTCTCTCTCTCTCTCTCTCTCTCTCTCTCTCTCTGTCTCTCCCCTCCCCTCCCTCCCTCCCTCTTTCTCTCTGTTAACTAGATATTAGCGCCAACTGAAAAACTCCATTCATTGCTGTCAAATTTGGAAACTGCCTCATAGCTGACCCTCCATTGGGTTTCCAATTCTGTAAATTGCTTAGGAGAAGATTGCCCATATTTCTACCTCATTGTATTCAAACCTCCAGAAAGGTGCTATCTTTGGATTAGCAGTGTAACTCCCTATAGATTGTGACACTAGAGCCCACTAGATACTAATGTAGACAGAGGAATAGATTGTGTATGCTGTGATAATACAGACAACTATTTTCCTGGCCTCTAGGTTTGATTACTGCTTCAGAATTTCCTTTTATTTAGTTTAGTTTTCATATTTGGTTATGGCTTTTTTATTTGTGTGTTTTGGTGGGTTGTTTTGGTTTTTTTTCCACTTTTTTAGAACATACTTATTGAGTTCCTATTCTTTTTTGTGCACTATACTAGACATCTTACTTCCCTCACCCTCCCATTTCAAAATGCCAGTGGGCCTAAGGGAAGACACAGAACTAACTGAATAGTTTGATGCTACTGATTGATTATGATTAATTTTTTGGAGACTCCTAGTTTATAGTTTGATAATATCAGATATAGTTCATTTATCCAGCTTTACCCAAAGTAGGTTATTTAAGTAAAAAAGGACAAAGTCAAGAAATAGAATGTCAATGAGAAGAGGAAATCTCTTGGCCAGTCATTACTTTTCATGCCTCTGTGATTTGTAAGGGCTCCCTAAGAAAATGTATACAGTATTTGTCAAGTGCCCTGAATTTGCAGCCTACCGTAGTCATGAGTATTTTGTTGTATGATAAAACGCGGCCTGACTATGTAACATCAGTGAGATGCTGTTAATTCTTAACTCCCCTAATCACTAAAACAATGTGTTACTATATGTAAATAAGTGAAATTACTTTTAAAAAAATCTATAAAGTAAAAAAGAAAACAAAAGACTAAATATAACTTAATAGATGAAGGAGTCAGATTGAGATTTGTCCATCCTTTTGCAGAAGAAGCAAATGCAGTGTGGGGAAGATGAGTCTGGCCACAATTAACTCTCAAGGTTCCTCAGAGAGGAGCTGTTCTGATCAATAACATCCACAGTACTAAGTAGCTACAAGGTCAGACATGGCCCCCTACTCTGTTCCTGCAACTACTTCTACTCACCACTGGGTTCATTGTTCATTGCAATTGACTCACAATGCAGACTGCAGTTTTCCTTGCAGACTTTACTTACAGTTGTGGGGTTTATTAGAGAAATAGGTTGGGAACAGGAGAGGCAAAGAATATCACATAGTAAAAATCCAGGCTTAGTAAATAGCAGTCCCAAGTCAGGTTAATAGCAAGACACAATTCCTCAATTAGTTCAGACTACTTCTTTGTCAACAAGTAAAATCCAGGTTCAGTCTAGCAACACAAATGCAGGAAGGCTCTGGTTTCCTCAGCTGTCCAGCAAGCTTTGTCTCTTAGCAGTTGCAAGTCAGCTTTCTTTCAGTTGTCCAGAAAACAAAACCTTTAGCTCTGGCTTTGTCTCCAGGGCTCTGTCAGGCTAAATCTTGCCATAGTCTCCCCACAGTCTGGTCAGCTCTCATTTTTTAATGTTGGCTGCAAAACTATTGATGTGGAAGACAATGATGAATCATGAACCATACATCTGAAGTTGAGGCAACAGGAGACCATGCCCCCAGAGGCAGCTAAAGAAATTACTAGATAGTGGCAAGAAGCTGCACTGCAATCCCAGAGGTACACAGTTCGAATCCACAAGATGCTCTGCTGGAGAAGGAGGGGCAATCTCGCCTGTACCAGTCAGATCTGATTTGACAGTACACACAAAAAATAATAAAATAAATTTTAAAAAAGAAATTACTAGAAAAGCTATTTTTTAAAGTCCTAACACCACACCTTTGTTGCTAGAAACACTGCTCTAGAAAAAGCAATGTTGTCCGAGAAGTCCAGAGTATAATTCTTTGGAAGTCAATTTATAAAAACTTAATTTTGCTATGATTTTATTTTCAGAGTGCCTGTCAGGAAAAGGTTCAACTGAGACCCTGCCCTAGGAGTCAAGAGACTTCCAGTATTAGTTTTGCTGATACTCTGCCATTAAATGACTTTAACCATATGACTTATTTTCTCTGAGACTTAATGTTTACCATCTGTAAATTCTATACTAGGAAATTTTGTGATTTGTGATTCTAGAATTATTTGCTTTCTATGAGGTATCCTTAATTCTAGAGAAGGAAAATTTTAATCCAACATTAAATAACCAGATCATCTGGAACACAGGTGTCGGCAAACACTGCCTAAGAGACCAGATGATAAATAAATGTTTTAGGCATGTAGGCCATATGGTTTCTTCCAGATTTACTATTACAGACGAAGTAGCCATAGATATGAAATAAACAAGTGACCATGGTTATGTTCCAATAAAACTTTATGAAACTGAACTTTGATTTTTTTTATCATTTTCGTGTGGTATTTTTATTGTATATTTGAAAAACAAAGGTAGTCCCAGCTGAGTAAAAACCACAAGCAAAAGTCTGTATGTGGGACTGGAGCAGTGAATAAAGAGAGGTCAAGTTAGCCAGTATCACAGAATAAACAGAGGTTTGCAGTGGGATCTACAGCTGGAAATAAGAATGAGAACTGACTGTAGTAGGCCTTGAATGTTAATCCAGAGTCAGGATGGTGTTTTTACTAGTGGTGAGAAGGCACCCCAGCAGGTTTTGAAAACAAAAGAGCAGCTAGCTCCCACTTGATGTATGACCATTATTGCACATACAGTGCTTCTGTGCCCTTTTTCCTCCCCTTTCTGTTTTTTGCATGATAGTTCCTGGACCTTTCCTTCAACAGCCTGACTGGGGAGGCCATCTGTGTGCTGGGGATTCTGCCTCACCTCCGTGTCCTGCTTCTCACAGGAAATGGGCTCACCTCCCTTCCTTCTAATTTGGCAGTCACAGAGCAGTAAGTTCTACATCCCTGAGTCTCTCCCACATGTTTTCACATGAGCCTTTGTTTGGGTATACAAGTACCTAAAAGAAGTAGTCTAATGCAGGTTGGAGTTGCTATAAAGACAAGCGATGTATGTTCAGAGTAGGAAGATGGCCGTTCATACCTGACTTAATGACAGTGTAAGAAAATACACGGAATTATTTAGTCCTTTGACATTTGTTGGGTTTTAGAAATGTTATAAATGCACTTGAAAAATAATGTGTAGTATTTAATTTTGGCCTTATAGTGCCCACTTGGGCACATTTATTGTGTTACTCAAATCTTATATATCCTCACTGATTATTTTTATGACAAGATTAAGCCTTTAATACTTTAGCTCTTTGTTTCCCACCTCTCTTATGCATGCTATTGTTATGCTGTTTATACCCAATAGTTTACAGACAGTGTGTCCATCTAGCACCTGTTTCTTGAAATTGGGGTCTATACAAACATAGACAGAAGTTGAAAGAGAGAAAGGAGGCACAGGAGGCGTGTATTTCAGTCTTTTTCTCAAAGAAAATACAGTAAAGCATTCGAAGTTACTGAAATGTGGCTTTTAAAACAAATGCTTTGAACTTTTGGGGAAGAGGTAAGAAATAGATCTAGATAAATAAGAGAGAATTTTTTTGTGGCAGGAGATAAGAAAGGAATACTATTTTCTAGCTTTTAACTTTAATGAAACAATTTTATGAAGCAAAATAAAATCAGACTTTGGATGCCTGTAACACAAATACTATGGCCTCTGTGCTTACCTGGAAGCATAAAATTTGCTTCAGGAAAACCAAGAGGTCTTGCTGGAGGTGATTATGTTTGGGAGACAGAAGGTCTGAGGGCCTGGTTTTCCAGCATGCTGAAGGCCAGGCAAAACAGGACTCCAAAGGACCTCAATTTTTATTATAATAAAAATGATATTTCATTCTCATCTTGAAAGTTATTTTACTAGATACAGAATTCTAGGCTGACAGTTCTTTTATTATTTAAGAATGCTGAGTATTATTATTCCATGGTTTTGTGGCTTTAGTTGTTACATTTTGGGAAGTCATGTATCAACCTATTGATATGGCTTTGAGGATACTATCTTTTTTCCTGGTTGCTTTTAAGATTTCTCTCTTGATAGTTTGGTTTTTGTAGTTTCTCTGTGATGTGTCTAGATATTGTTGTTGTTGCTGTTATATGCCATCGAGTCGCTTGTGACTCATACTGACCCTATGTACAACAGCTTTGAACCCTGCTCTATCCTTAGCCAGCTTTACTGTCTCCGACACACTTGCCCCCATTACTGTAGTCACCAAGTTAATCCATCTCATCGAGGGTCTTTCCATCCTGCGCTGTCCCTCCACCCTCCCAAACATAATGTCCCTCTTCAAGGACTGATCCCTTCTTGCAACATGTCCAAAGTATGTCAGACGGAGCTTCAGAATCCTTGCCTACAAGGAGCGATCTGGTTTCACCCTCTCCAAGATGAACCTGTTTGTTGTCTTAGCAGTAGCATGTGTAGATAGAGATTTATTTTTAAAATATTCTACTTAGATCCCCAGGCTTCTTTAATCTATTTATCTGCTTTTCCTCAGTTGTAAAATAAAAAAAATGTAGCCATAATTTTGATAAATATTATTTCCACCCAATTCTCTCTCTTTTCTTTGGGAACATTTAAATGTCTCCTAATTTCTTTTCATATTTCTTTCTTATGTCTCTCTGTGCATTATAACAAGTAATTCCTTATAATCTACTTCCTAGTTTACTAATTCTCTCTTCACAATCTCTAGTCTGCTGTCAGATATATCCACTGAATTTTGAATCCCAGTCTTTATTTTTCAATTCTTGCAGCTCTATTTTTTTCTCAATATACTGAATTGTTTTAAAATAATTTTTAAATTCATTGTTGCACATTTTCCTCCCTCAGCCTACCCCACAATGTACCCCTTGTTCCAGATTGTTCTCATACATATAATGCCTAAACATATATTCCTTTTGGACAGATCTTCCCCTCATCTGTTTTACTGCAGTGTTCATTATCTATCCACTCTTTCCCCAACCCCTCCATGTCTGTCCTACTTTATAACAGCAGTGTTATGCATTATTTTTCCTTCTGTGCCTGAGATTTTTCACTCAGCATAATGTCCTCCAGGCTCCTGCATATTGTGTAATGTTGTATGAGCTGATTATTTTTTCAGTGCTGCATAGTATTCCATTCTGTGAATTAAATGTATGATAGTTTTCTATCCATTTGTTTGTTGATGGCCACTTGAGTTGCTTCCATTGCTTTGCTATTATGAATAATTTAGAAATAAACATAGGTATATATACATCTGTTTGAGTCATGGCTCTGGTTTCTTTAGAGTTTATTCCCAGTGGTGGAATTGCTGGGTCAAATGGTATTTCTATTTCCAACGTTTTGAGAAAGTGCCAGACCACCTTCCATGGGGGCTGTACCATCTTACATTCCCACCAGCAGTGGATAAGAGTTCCAATCTCTCGACAACCTCACCAGCATTTGTTGTTTGCCACCCTGTTGAACTTTGCTGTTGTTACTGGGGTGAGATGATATCTCGTAGTTGTTTCAATTTCCATCTCTCTTATAACTGGGGATTTTGAACATTTCTTCATGTATTTGTTTCCCACCTGAATATCTCCTTTGGTGAAGTGTCTTTTCATATCCTGTGACCATTTTGTGATTGGTTGTTTACTTTTTTCTTGTTGAAGTACGAGTATTCTATAAATTTTAGGTATAAGTCCCTTATCAGATATGTCATTGCCAAATATTTTTTCAGTGGGTTTCTTTCTTACCCTGTTTTCTGTTGTGCATAGGGATTTGATCCTTAGAAGGTCTCATTCACTTATTTTATTCTGAAAAAGAAAAAGTAATTTTTTTTTTAATCTTTTTAAAATAGTTCTCTGTATCCCAAAGATATTTTAAGTTGTCCCTTTTTTGTTTGTTTGTTTAGATATAGTAAATATATACCTAGGAGTGGATTATAAAGAATATTCAACTTTAGTAAATGATGCCAAACAGTTTTCCAAAATGATTGTACCAGTGTGCATTCTGGTCAGCAGTAGGGGACAGCTCATGTTACTCCACATTTTCACTAGTACCTGATATTGTCAGTCTTGGTAATGATTTGCTGTCTTGGTGAGTGTGTATTTGTATATCTCTGTGGTCTTAATTTGCTTCACAGTTATTGGGTAACAATATAGAAATACATTTGTCCTCTCTTTGGAACAATTAAACTAGTCTCATCTAACAGCTAATTCTTTATCTCTGTCACCTTCACTTGCTGCATGTATAGCTTTAAAATCACTGAAAAGACTGATTATTTTCTTGTACTCAAAAAAAACAAAAACCAAAACAAAGCTGCCCTCTAGTCAGTTCTGACTCTTAGTGACTCTGCAGGGCAGAGTAGAACTTCTTATAGGGTTTCTAAGACTAAATCTCTCCAGCAGCAGACTACCTTATAACATCCATATGAACCTGTTGCAAATTATCTATAAATTAAACTTACAGACACGTTTAGATATAGATCTTATTTGTATGCTGAAGATTTTCTGTACCTGGTCATTAAAGAAGATGTGTTGTGTTGTGTTGTGTTGGGCACTATATTAATTATTTACAGGTCATTTGAAGTACAGCAGTATCTTGAAGTACAACATCGTGAGTGACGCTTACAAGGAAGTCCAGTGTATACCACTATCATTCAGATATATGCACCAACAACCAGAGCCAAAGAAGAAGAAATAGATGATTTCTACCAACTTTTACAGTCGTAGATAGATCGAACATGCAATCAAGATGCATTGATAATAATGGGTGACTGGAATGCAAAAGTTGGGAA